CTTCCCCCTGACCCTATCCTGGAGGACTTGATGGCAGGGATGGGACCCTATCCTGGAAGGACTTGATGGCAGGGATGGGACCCTATCCTGGAAGGTCTTGATGGCAGGGATGGGAGAGACCTGATCACCTCCTGCTGTGACGGTGTCCTCCACAGACTGTCGCCTCTCTGGGCCTCAGTTTCCCCATTTATACTCCGTTTCCCCATTTATACAGCCAGTGCCAGCGACTTTATTCTGGTCCCAGCCTCCACGCACCCCCCCCCCAGCCCCCCCAACACAAGGGCCACCGAGGTGTCCTTGGCCGCTAGAGGGCAAGATGGGCCAGTCCAGTAATGTGGCCAATGTCGCCACCTGGTGGTAGTTCATGGCTGGCGTTGAACAGCTGGATTTGCAGGGTTTGGGGGAACTGGAAATGCAGGGGTGGGCGGGGAGGTAGGGGGGACTCCCCACCGAGGTTGCCAGCCCCAGGACAGTGCCAGCTCTTGCGGGCAGCAGCGGCCAGGTGGTCCCTATTTTCCATCATCATATCATCGCGCAGCCTCTCCAAGGGCCTGGAGGCGGGCCAGCTGCGGCCTTTTTTTTAAGTTATGTAATTATTACTTTTAAAAATTGTGGTGAGACACTGTCCTTTCCTTAGGAGGCTGTGATGGTTAATTTTATGTGCCAACTTGGCTGGGCCAAGGTATCCAGATTGGTCAAACATTCGAGATGTATTCTGTAAAGGTTTTTTTTTTTTTTAAGATGAGATTAGTATTCGTGGGGGTGGCCACATCCTCGCAGATGAAGACCTGTGTTTTTAAAAAGACTGCTCTCCCCAGGATAGGGAGGAATTCTCCAGCAGACGGCTGTGCCCTGGGGCCACACTCTCCCCGCCCTCCAGCCTGCTGGGCCGAGCTGGGGCTCGCAGCCTGCACAGTGGCAGCCCCCCATTCCTTAAAATAAATCCCTGGCTTCTCTATATTTTCATGCATGTGCATCGATGCGGCCACGCATCCCTTAATACAGGGCCACAGTCCGAGAAATGTGTCCCTGGCTGGTTTTGCGCGGGTGGAGCGGGCGGCCGCCGGCTGTGTGGCGCCCCCTGGCCACCGCCGTCGGGCTTCTGCATGGGGCCGGGGTGTTTGAGGCCCATTGATCCATTCGCCCTCTCTGCAGGCGTAAATCCCTGTATGCATTATTAGCACCGCCAGCCAACCTGGAAACTTCTTTGGAGTATAATCCTCCCCTTCCTCAGCAGCCCGCCTCCTCCATCACGTCAGGCAGGACTTGGCTTTAGCTACTGGCATCTGGCCAAGAGGGGAGGGGCCGGCAGAGCCTGTGACCATTGTAAGGGGCACCTGGTTCTGCCCTGGGGGTGTGGGGGTGAGCCTCCTTCTAGAGGAAGGGGGCGGGGCCCCTGCTGCATCCCTGGGGTGTAGACCGCAGGGCAAAGGAGAGTCCAAGTTCTGGAGTGCGTCCGTGTGGACACTCACCCCAGACTCGGTCCCACGCCCCCTCTGGTGGCTGGCCCCCGACTTTGGTTGAGGACACTTTCCAAGGATGAGAAAGCAGTCTTCCGCGGAGTTCTGCTAATCTGGAGATTAGGTCTGGAGCTCATTTTCCGCTCAGTCTGCAGCCACAGGAACCGAGGCTGCTTTACCTGCTGCTAACGAGACTTTGGGGATTTCCAACTTCGCTTTGGAGGTTCCCTTCTCTCTTCAAAGCAGCTGTGGTGCTAACAAGAGCCACCGATTCCACCACCCCTGTCCGCACTATTCCCTGCCCTTGCACCCTGCGTGGAGTGCCCCAGCCGGCCACACCCTTCCGCCTGCACCCCGCCAGGTCTGCCATGGGCCTCAGCAGCCCACTGTCACTGCAGAAGTCACCGGTGCTCCCCCTGGCTCCCCAGGGACCAGCCACCGGTGTCAGGGACAGTGGCGGTCAGAAGCAGAGGCTCCCCAGGACTTCCCCAGACCCTCTGCTTCTGCCTTAGAGGTCTGAGTGCCTAATTGGGCTTAGTGGGTCCCTTACTTTCCCAAAAATATTAAATATTCCATTTTATTGGGGGAAGGGCAGACTGCAGAATTATTCTTTTTTTAGAAAAATTTATTTTATTTATTTATGCATACAAGAACTGAGGTGTAGGCCAGAGGGATGGGGGGGGTGGTGAGAGGATTCACCAGAGACAGAGTGGGGAGCAGAGCAGGTAGATCTACTGAAATACACTGCTGAGGGGAGCAGCGGGGAGACAGGAGAGGTCTGCTGCGGTCTGTGGGTAGCTCCCTGGCCAGGGATGGGCCTCAGGCTGCAGTGGCTGGCGACAGCTTGATAGTGCTGAGACTTTAACCCCTGCACCACCAGGGAGGCCCTGCAGAATTATTCTTAAAAGGGACAGCATTTCAGCTCTGCAAGATGAAAAGCGATGTGGATGTGGACAGTGGTGGCCACTAGCCCTGAAGGCCACTGAGCTCCGCTGACCTGTACACTTAAAGATCCTCAGATGGTGAATTGATGCTTTGCCTAACTTACCAGGCGAGAAAAAAAATATGTCTTCATAATATTGAAGATAAAATATATTGATTAAAAAAATGCCATATGAGGGCCTCCCCGGTGGCGCAGCGGTTGAGCGCTGGGTTGCAAAGCTGCCCGCAGCCTCTGCAGCACCGGTTCAATCCCCGGCTGCTCCCCGGCCACCGGAGGAGGGTCCCACATGGCGCGCAGACCTCTCCTGCCGCCCGCTGCTCCCCTCAGCAGTGCACTTCGGTCCTTCTGCCTGCTCTGCTCCCCGCTCTGGCTCTGGTGAATTCTCTCAACCTCCCGCGCTTCTGACTGTACCCGGTGCTTCAATAAATAAATAAATATTAAATAAAATAAAATAAAATTATTAAAAAAAAATGCCATATGAAAAAGTTTTCTTTGACCAAAAAGTCCATTTTCTCCTGATTTTAAAAAGAAATTAAACAATTTTCATGGGCACCTAGAAGAACTAGGAACCTCGGTGGACCCTCTGCTCTGTTCCTTCTGTATCTTTTTTTTTTTAAAGATTTATTTATTTATACAAGCACTGGGTACAGTCAGAAGCACAGGATGGTGAGAGGATTCACCAGAGCCAGAGCGGGGAATAGAACAGGAAGACCGATGAAATACACTGCTGAGGGGAGCAGCGGGCAGGGCAGGGGAGGCCTGCCGTGCCATGTGGGACCCTCACCTGGCGGCCAGGGATAGAACCAGCGCTGCAGAGGCTGCGGGCAGCTTTGAAGCTCAGTGCTCAACCGCTGCGCCACCAGGGGAGGCCCTGACCCTTCTGTATCTTGTGGACGATTTGGCCCTGGTGGGGTGCAGGGCCCCAAAAAGGAGATCTGGGTGGGGCACCAAGAGCCACCCACCTAGCCAGACAGCCAAGAAAACATGCATGAAGTCCCGGGGACACTCCAGAACCACTGGGCATGGCTTCACATTGGAGTATTAACGAGGGAAAAACCTATATATTTAAATATCTGGAATTCCAGAAATAGAGGTGTTGGTCTCTGCAGGGTTTGCAGCTGTCCATGGAGTTCTGCGGCTTCCTTCATCGAGGTATCACGCGTGTTGGTTCAGCTCACGCTAGGTGTGCTGTCGTGACGTCACTGGGACGAAGGGGGCCCCTCGGAAGCACCACCACCGTCACTGACTGTGCTCTGTCCCCTCCTCAGCCGTCTCATCAAAGCGCCTATGGATCCTAAGAGCCATTCAGTGGACTCTTCGGTTTTCTAGACGCACCTTCGGGTCAGGGTAAAGTATTCCTCGTTATACTCTGCATTTTTCTTGTCTTATCACACTCGCTAGAACTTCCAAGGTGCAACACCGGGGTGATCCCCCGCGGACTCACGCCACCTGGATCTGTGTTGGGAAGTGCTGTGCTAGCCCAGGGTCAGCTCAGCAGTCCTCTCCTGGACCACACTGTAACTACCTTCAGCTCGCCTGGCCAGTAACCGCGATCAGTCCAGTTCCTCAAAGTGATTCCTCTCCCCTCATTTTGTGCTTTATCTTAATGGAAGTGCCAAAGCAGCTGAGCGAGTTGGCTCCTGCATTCCCTCGGGATTTCTGGAAGGGCCGCTGGATTCTGTCAAGCATCCCCTCGCGTCTGGCCCCAGAACCCGGCTTCCTGCTCTGGGTGCTGGTGTTGGTGGACGGCGCGTGGAGGGGCGCAGCTGCTGGTGTTGGTGGAGGACGCGTGGAGGGGCGCAGCTGCTGGTGTTGGTGGAGGGCGCGTGGAGGGGCGCAGCTGCTGGTGTTGGTGGACGGCGCGTGGAGGCGCGCAGGCTGGTGTTCGTGGAGCGCGCGCAGCTGCTGGTGTTCGTGGAGGGCGCGTGGAGGGGCGCAGCTGCTGGTGTTCGTGGAGGGCGCGTGGAGGGGCGCAGCTGCTGGTGTTCGTGGACGGCGCGGGGAGGGGCGCAGCGGGCCGGGAAGACGCTGCGGGGTGAGTCTGCGAGAACCGGTATCCGGGGTCACCGAGAGCGGGTGGGGGGGTCTTTGCTTCGAGAGCAGGACTCTTGACGCGTTAACAGAGGGGTGTGAGCGCGATTCTGCGCCCGGGCCTGCCTGGGGACCCTGATCCGGGACCGGAACAGCAGGTGAAGACCCAGGTGTCCTTTGTCTCTCCGGACTGTGTCACTATCCATTTTACAGACGAACTGGGGTCCCGGCCCCGCCCCCCCCGTCCCCCCACCCCCGACCCCGCCCCGCCTCCCGCCCCATCCCCAGACCCGCATTCCGCGCGCAGGGACGAGGCAGCGGGCGCCTCCCGAGCGGGCACTCCCGGGCACTCCCGGGCACGTCCAGCAGGTGGGGGCCCGCGCGCAGGGACGGAGCGGTCAGGGCGCTGCGGACCTTCCGTCCCTCCCCGCTCCGCCCTGCCCACCCCCGGTGGACCCGCCCGCCCGCCCGTGGCGAGAGGCGGGCCCTGGAGCCCGCGCGGAGCGCGCCCGGAGCCGGCGGGCAGAAGCGGGGCGCACGGGCGCGCAGCCGTCGGGGCCCGGGACATGGCGGGCGCGGCGCTCCGGCGGGGCCTGGCGCTGCGGGCGCTGCCCGCGCTGCTGCTGCTGCTCCCGGCGCTGCGGGCGCGGCGGGCGGCGGGCACCGGCATGGGCGCCTGCTACGACGGCGCGGGGCGCGCGCAGCGCTGCCTGCCCGAGTTCGAGAACGCGGCGTTCGGCCGGCGCGTGCAGGCCTCGCACACGTGCGGCGCCCCGCCCGAGGACTTCTGCCCGCACGTGGGCGCGCCGGGCGCGGGGGCGCAGTGCCAGCGCTGCGACGCCCAAGACCCCCGGCGCCACCACAACGCCTCCTACCTCACCGACTTCCACAGCCAGGACGAGAGCACCTGGTGGCAGAGCCCGTCCATGGCCTTCGGCGTGCAGTACCCCACCTCGGTCAACCTCACCCTCCGCCTGGGTAAGCGCCCGGCCCGGCGCCGCCCCCCGCGCCCCCTGGTCCCTGCCCGTCGCCGGCCAGAGGCGGGAGCCCGCAGGCGCCCTGATGGCTGGGGGACCCGGAATGCAGGGGTGGGGCTCGGGACGGGAAGGGGCCCCGCATAGCTGGAGGGTGCTCGGCTGCGGGCCGCTGGGCAGGAGCACCGGGCAGCAGGGAGGTGCCCTGTAATGCTGGACCACGGCGTGAGCTTTCTCCCCCCTAGGCAGGGGTTCCTGAGGGTGGGTCATCTGGTGGACTCCAGGGGCTCAGGGAACCCCTGAGGCCGTGGGCAGGCAAGGGTGTGCCCCAGGGTGGGAGCCAAGGCTGCATTCCCGGAGGGCTTAGCCTCTGAGAGGGCAGGCTGCTGGGCGGGTCGCTGGACCGGATGGCGGAGGCCCTGGGCGTGCCCAACCCCCCTGCACCCAAACCCATCCGAGGGCAGGGCCGGGCACCCTTAGGTCCCTGAGAATCAGGACCCAGCCCTTTACTCTCTGCCCCTCTGAGTCCTGCCATGCCTGCCTCTTTGCACCCCAGATGTGCCAGGCACAGGGCTCAGCATTTCTCTGTGACTCCACAGTCCTTACAGGGAGGGGTGCCCCCCCCAACATCCTTCCTTGTCAGTGGCTTCCCAATCTCTCCCAGCTTTGAAAACTCAAGAGAATTTTTATAACTCATTTTGGCTGCTGAGCCTGACCTGAGGCTATTTACAGACACTGTTTATCCTGCTCAGAGTGAATGTTCGGGCATTGTGCTGCTAAAATCTCATCTGAGCAATAAGCCTGCAGCCCCAGCCCCGCTGTGGTGTTATCGTCAGACCAGGTAGGACTTTCTAAACGGAGAAGCACAGGATGCCAGCACATCTGGAGCCCAACAACAGAGATAAGGGGTTATAGGACCATGTCCCCATTTTTCAGATGGAACATGGCAGCTCAGAGAACTTAAGCGTTTGGCCGGAAGCACACGCCGCGGGTGCCAGCCCGGGTGTGAGCCTCTGTGTCATCCAGGACCAGAGCCTGCAGTCCTTGCTGTGCGCCCGCCCACCAGCGGGGTGGGCTGTCCCTCCCCCTGGGTGACAGCGCCTTGGGGAAGGCTGGGAAATGGTGATGCAGTGGGGGGGGGGGCACACTGGGCCCTCAGCAGAGCAGACCCGCCCACTACGCCCCAGGAAGCTCAGTTCCTGGGCCTCGTCACCTTCACTCCAGGACCTTCTGTCAGGCAGGGTCTCTACCCAGGCGGGGACAGGAAACCAGGGGGAGGGAGGCTGGGGAAGCTGGCTGGCTGGGGCTGGCAGGACCCCAAGGCCACAGGAGAAGGAATCTGGGGTTGGGTGGGAGTTGTGGGGAGACTTGCTGCTTCATGACAGGGGGTGCCGGTCTGGCTGATGGGTAACATGTGTCGGTGGAACGCAGGCCAGGAGTTCAGCCCAGGCACAGGCTAGGTGGGAGGTGGTGGGGGAAGCACCCCAGGTTTGGTTTTGGGGGCAGTGCCCATTCACCCAGCGCTTGTTGTGGGGCCCTTGCTTCTGCTGGGTGGCCTCATTGGACCCTCGGTCAGCCTCACTCTCCATCTAGAACCTTCTGAAGCAGGGCAGTTTTCATCCCTCCAAAGCCAGGGAACGGGGGGCTCTGAGCTCCCCAGCCATGAGTGTGGCCTGAGACCACACACACACCCCCTGATGTGGCTCCCCCTGGCTCGGCGCCTTTCCGCTAGGTGGTGGCACCACAAACACTGGAAGTGATTGTGCAGTGACTGAAGAGTGAATGAATGAATGGATGGATGGATGGGTGGGTGGCGATGCCACTGCCGCCTCCATCATGTGCTTCCGGCCCAGCTCAGGGGTCTCTGGCCTGCTCTGGGGCAGACATCGTGGGCCTTGGCCCCCGGTCAGGCACAGACCCCCCAGACAGTGTCGTCACCCCACCGCAGCGCCCCGCCCTGTGAGTGGGATAGGGGTTGCCCCCACCCAGGGTGTGCAGGTTCCTTGCTGGCACCGTCTCCCGTGTGACCCGAATCGCTCTGCAGCGGCCCAGGGCTGAGGCTCCCCTCGGGTGGACTCTGCCGCGGGGATTGTGAAATGCGGCTGCGGCTTCCAGACACCCTGACCCTGCTTACGCACCAGGGGCGCAGGGAACCGAACACCCTTGACCTGGCCCATTCTGGGATCCATGCAACTTTGGTTGGCTCCACGCTGAGCCTCGCATTGCACAAGAGCGGGGGCAGGAGAGGCCTCGGGGTGTTACGGTGTCCAGTGGTGCCAGACCTGCAGACGCAGTGGGCCAGGGAGCTTCTCGGTCCTCAGGCCACCTCTGCTGGCCCAGCCCCCTCTCCTGGACCCGGCTCCGCTTCTGTGGCAGGGATGGCGGCTGGCGGTTCTGGCCCGGGATCTCCTGAGGGATGGGGTGAGGGGCAGGGCAAGGCAAGGCAGCGGTCAGCCCGGGAGGGAGGGCGCTGCTTTCCCAGCCCCCCGCAAGCTCGCAGACATCTGTTCCAAATCCCCGAGTCGCTAGGCCGAGCCTTCCTGTCTGGGATGAAAGGCAGTGGCAATCCAGCAGCTCCCAGCCCCCCTGAGGCCCAGGGGAGAGGCGGCCTGGTGGCCAGGGGGCTGGGGGAGCAGGTGGAGGGTCATCAGGGGTGAGAGGCAATGACAGGGGTGTCCATGGGTTGAGTCCCACTGGGGGCACCCAACCTCGCAGTTTGTTCTTTTTTGGAGCAGGAGACAGGAGACCCTGAGGATGAAACCTCTTGCTCAGGGTCACCCGGCCAATAAAGGGGACCCTGGGGCCCTCCCCAAACTGCCCTTCGTGTGGGATGCCCAGTGTCCGGGTCAGGTCTGCTCACGCCTTGGCTCCTCGCCCAGGGAGGGGACCATCCCTGCCTGCCTGGACAGTTTGGGGATTTTGAAATACTTCTAGAAGCACAGAAGGACCCCGAGAGTCCCTGAGAGGACAGTCGGAGCCTGCTGACCGGGGGGAGTTGCAGGCCCCAGCCTCACCCCTCCACTGCGCGTGCGCGCGCACAAACACACACACGCACGCGGCCGGCCACACCACCACGGGTGTCGCACCAGATCCTGTCCCTCCCTCTTAAAACCCTCCGTGTCTTCCCTTCATTCCTCGAACTAAATGACGCCCCCTCCCACCACCCCACGTAGCGTGGCTCCTAGGGCACCCACCTCTGCCCCGTCACCCCGCTCCCGTCCCCCGGGCCTGCTCCTCGCCACAGCATCGCGGTGGCGCTGCTGTCCCTTTGGCTGAAGGGCGGTGGGCAGTGGCAGGAGACCCAGGGACCTCCCACCAGGGACAGCACGCGGGGGACGTCCAGCCTGCCCTGGGACCCCGCGGCCTGGGCGGTAGAGTGGGGGCACGAGAAGACAGGAGGGCCTGGCCAGCCCGGGGAGAGGGCTGGACGTTGGGGGGCTCCTGCAGCCCCCGGGAGCCCCACGCCAGCTGGGACCCCGAGCTCCGGCTCCGCTGTGTCTTCCTGCTGAGTGGGCGGCTGTGTTTGCGTTGGCCGGGCCGGCGCTGGGGGCCAAATCCTCCTTCCTTCTCCCTGGGGTTTCTGGTGGGAACGCCAGGCCCCCTGAGGGTCAGGGGTCAAGGCAGCAGCCCGGTGAGCCCCCACCCCAGCAGCCGTCCCACACCACTCTGGGGCCCTGGACGCCTCACCCTTCTAAGGGTTCCCAGGACCCACCCAGCAGAGGCAGGAGCAGGAAATTGCAAATGCCATGAAGGATGCGGACAGTCCCCGGTCTCAGGGTCACCCCGCCTCCCCCACAGCAGCCCTCCCCCAGCCTCCAGATGGCCCCACCCACCCCCACAGCAACCCCCAGTCTTCTGATGGCCTCACCCACCTCCACAGCAGCCTCCAGTCTCCCGATGGCCCCGTCCACCCCCACAGCAGCACTGCCCTCACAGGGCTAGGACAGACTGGCATCCAATCTCTGCTCGTGCTGTGGCTGGTGCCATCACCACTGCCCACATGCTCTCATAAACCCAGCAACTGCGTGCCCACTGTGGGCTCCTGCTCAACTTAGAGGTGGCCCCCTCCCAGAGGCCACCCCTCCCGTCTCCCAGGATCTGGAGGGGGCCTGTCTGTGTTCTTGCGCCCCCGCCCCCGCCCCATGGTAGCCGCTGCAGCCCTGTGCCCACCGCTGCAGAGTTGCCTGGGAGAGAGCCTGTTTTGACAGCTGTACCCCGGCGCCCGCCGGCCCCCTCAGGTGCCTGGTGGAGGATGGTCGGGAGAGTGCGTGGGGAAGTAGCTAAGGTTTGCTTGTGTGTGTGCTGCGGGCCTGGGGCGCCCCTAAGGGCTTTGCAGGCGTATACTCACTAGGCCGGCTAGTGTTATGTGCATTTGCAGATGGGGAAACTGAGGCACCACATCCCAGTCATTTGTCCAGTCGACCTGAGGGAGGTTCCATAGCTGCCCGAGGTCACAGAGCTAAGTGGTGGGGCTGGGCTGGGAGGCCCGGCACCTCCCGACTGCAGGAGGGAGGAAGGGACGAGCCCGCAGAACGCCCTGCAGCCTTCCGGGAGCACCAGGCCCTACGCCGTGGCTTTCTCCCGGGACGGCGCTGGGACTCGAGGTGTGCTGCTCCCTCACCAGTCCGCCGCCTGGGCCCAGACCTGGTGGCTCAGGCAGAGCTGCGTCACCCCGGGAGGCCCCGCGTTGCTGGTGGGGTTGTTCGTGGCAGCCAAAGGGGGGAGCTGCCCTCTGATGAGCCAATAAGCACAACGTGATGGAAACACACAGCGGAAAGCGATTCAGCCTTAGAGAGGAAGGCGCTTCTGGCCCAGGCCCCCGCATGGGGAGCCGTGATGCTGGGCATAGGCAGACCCGGGGGCAAGACGCCTGTCTGAGCGACCTGGGGAGCCCCGTCTCGTGGAGCCCTAGAGGAGAATGGTGGTGTTGGGATGGGGAGTTGTCGTTAATGGGGAAGACAGAAAGTTCTGGAGGGAGTGGGGCTGCACAGCCATGAGAATGTG